CACCAACAAAATGATAGACAATACGATACACGAACGAGACAATGTAGAGTTGTTGACCGATATTTTAGCTCGCCATTTGGCATTCCCGATCAAAATTTCTCACAGTTTTGTGAAGACGGCACCACCTAGTTGAAAACGGCGGGTTTCTATTTGTACACCCAATATTATTTCACATTTTCGGTTTTTATACCCTTGCAGGGTATTATAATTTCAGTCAGAAGTTTGCAACGCAGTGAAAAAGACCTTTCTGACCCTATAAAGTATATATATTCAACAACCGTCCGTCCGTCGTCCGTCTGTCCGTTTCTACGCAAACTAGTCCCTCAGTTTTAAAGCTATCTGAATGAAACTTTGCATATAGTCTTTTATATACTCTCACTGCTATATATGTCGGAACGGGCCGGATCGGACGACTATATCATATAGCTGCCATACAAATGTTCGCGCGAATTTTAGAATAAGTATAGGTAAAATGTATTGAAACTCTGTTTTGTGTGTTTTCAGCATTTAAATTTATAATATAAATATCAAAACCAAATTATTATTTGCTATATATAGGTATACAACGTTTATATATTTTCTTTTATTTATTTTCGAATTATTTAACGAGAATGGCTCGATTCTTAATGATCCAATTGCCATCTGCAAGGGTATATAAACTTCGGCGTGCCAAAGTTAGCTTCCTTTCTTGTTCAATTAAGTTTTATCTTTTGAAGGAGTTAGGAGATATGCATTGTCACTTACAAAAATAAAATAAAGGTTTAATTGCATCAACAAATACCAAATATCAGGTAAACTTTCGTTTTACAGGAGCACATGGAAATGGAAAACATAAAACTTGTATTGAAAACAGTTAAATTATATCGAAAACATTGAAATTATGTACAGTTTGTCAAGACATTCTTAGCAAAACGAAAAATCCCCATAAAATTTGTTTTTAGATTGAAAATTTATTAACAAAAACAAGACATTTTTAAACTTTTCTTTTATTATATGATTAGGATAAATGATAGCTATGAATATAAAAACAAAACTTGAATATTTTAACTTAAAACTTAGTGTTCACGCCAGAAGGGCGTGAAGTTATGAGCGGCAGTGTAAGCGGCGAGCGCTTGCGCTCATGCTTGTGCTCCCGCTCACTGTGTCCTCCGCTCTTCCCGTCTCCCTCTCTTTCGCTATTCTCCAGCACCGAACTCACCACTCCGCGGTCCCTGCAGCCCTTTCCATGTAAATCTAAGTTAGTCTTAATATAGAAGTGAAGCAAATAAAATTGAATTGAAGCGAAGCTACCCCCTCTCGCCTACTAATTGGGAAAATTGTGGGACTCAGCAGCCAGCCCAACTCCAGCCCAACATTCCGACGACCACGCCATCCTAGAAGGACGACGACTGTTTTGGCCACTCCGCCCCCTCCATTTCATGGTCCTTCGAGCCGGATAGCGGAATTTAAATTTCCAGCGCCCCATTGCGGATACCAAGATAAGTACGAAGTCCAAAGTCCATTCGTCCGTGGTCGCCATATTCCTTTTCCAAGGCATTATTTTTTTCCTCGATCCGAGAATAATGAAAAGTGACAGTGAAAAGTGAAAAAATATATACATATGTGCACATAGTGATAAACGCCCAGCCACAGTAAATTTTCTTCCGTTTTTAAAATGCAAAAGTACTTTGCCAATATTGGCCCCCCTACTTAGTCGTGCTGTGATCCGCTGGTGTCCAAGTGCATATATATATATGTACATATATATATTTTTTTCTTACAAATTCACGTTCCGTCACTCAGTTCCAAAATACGTCCGACACTAACTGCAATTCCAAATAGTATTATTAATACAATTTTAAAGAAAGCCTTTACACACATACATACATACCTTAACATACACCCAAATATAAATATAAAATAAAATCCGCCCCCTCCAGTTTTATAAATATAAAATAAAAGCGCGAATATAAAAAACATCTGAATCCAAAATATATATTTTGTTAAAATAAAAAATAAAATAAATAAAAGAGAGATAAAAAGGGAATCTCCTCCCGGCCAAGTCGAACCCATCCTCTCCGCGGCCCATTCGAGCCCATTCAGCACCCAGGCCCTCCAAGTTCGGCTTCCACTTCCAAAGGGACGATCGACAAGTCCGTCAAACGCTCCACGAATAGTCATCTCTCGTCCGGTGGCAAAAGCTTCTAGCGACTCTTCGCTTGCCATAAAGTCAGAGTCTCCCTCTGTTTCAAAGCCGGAATTCCTGAGGGTGACACGCTCTAGCAGCCACAAAATGGCATCCGCTGAACAACCAACGGCCGAACCGCCAACGGCCGCAACCGTGTCGTCGCGCAAATTCATAGCCGCCAGTGATCGTGTGAGCATTTTCGAAGCAAAGATCAATACTCCAGGTCAAGCTTCCCCGTCCCTACATCTGCTACAAGTCCGCCTGCAACAAGTGCGAGCCTTATGGGACAACGTAGAGACGGAGTACGACACGTGCTCCGATCTAATTGCCCAAGAAGGATCCCTCGAAATGGTGTCCGTGCTGCAGAACAAATATGACTATTGCTATTCGGTGTATGAGTCATGTTCAGCAGAGATCAGTGCGACAATTGACAGTGCCACGCCTCAAGCCGTGCAACCACCCTCCCAGCCAATAATTTCCTCCGGTTGCCGCTTACCTCCCTGCGATACAGAAGTCTTCGACGGGGACTGCCTTCGATGGCCCACTTTCCGGGACCTATTCACGGCAGTCTATGTCAACAACCCAAGGCTGACACCGGTCGATAAGCTCTTCCATCTTCTCACGAAGACGAGCGGCGAGGCGAAAGCCATGGTCTCCAAATTCCCGCTTACAAATGACGGGTTCGCCTCGGCGTGGGAAGCGCTTCAAGACCGTTTCCAAAACAAACGACTTTTAGTCAACAGCCAACTTTAGCTTCTGTTCAACTTGAGTTCCATCTTCCATGAATCTGGTCATGCGCTGAAATTGTTGCAGTCCACGATTCAGGGTTGTTTGACAGCGCTAGCACATTCCCATATATCCACGGACAACTGGGATTGTCTGCTGGTTTTCCTGTGCGCAAGCAAACTGCCGAAAGTTACCCTTCCTCTATGGGAATAGTCCCTGACGTCGAAATCCGACATTCCGGCTTGGGAAGACATGAACACCTTCCTAAGCGAAAGATATCGCACATTAGAGGCTATAGAGGATATGAAGCCGACGCAAGCAGTCCCTAAGAAGTTCCAAATCTTTAAGACAAAAGTCAGCACCAAACAGAGAGCGACTTATGCTGACCCTATAAAGTATATATATTCAACAACCGTCCGTCCGTCGTCCGTCTGTCCGTTTCTACGCAAACTAGTCCCTCAGTTTTAAAGCTATCTGAATGAAACTTTGCATATAGTCTTTTATATACTCTCACTGCTATATATGTCGGAACGGGCCGGATCGGACGACTATATCATATAGCTGCCATACAAATGTTCGCGCGAAATTTAGAATAAGTATAGGTAAAATGTATTGAAACTCTGTTTTGTGTGTTTTCAGCATTTAAATTTATAATATAAATATCAAAACCAAATTATTATTTGCTATATATAGGTATACAACGTTTATATATTTTCTTTTATTTATTTTCGAATTATTTAACGAGAATGGCTCGATTCTTAATGATCCAATTGCCATCTGCAAGGGTATATAAACTTCGGCGTGCCAAAGTTAGCTTCCTTTCTTGTTCAATTAAGTTTTATCTTTTGAAGGAGTTAGGAGATATGCATTGTCACTTACAAAAATAAAATAAAGGTTTAATTGCATCAACAAATACCAAATATCAGGTAAACTTTCGTTTTACAGGAGCACATGGAAATGAAAAACATAAAACTTGTATTGAAAACAGTTAAATTATATCGAAAACATTGAAATTATGTACAGTTTGTCAAGACATTCTTAGCAAAACGAAAAATCCCCATAAAATTTTAGATTGAAAATTTATTAACAAAAACAAGACATTTTTAAACTTATCTTTTATTATATGATTAGGATAAATGAATGCTATGAATATAAAAACAAAACTTGAATATTTTAACTTAAAACTTAGTGTTCACGCCAGAAGGGCGTGAAGTTATGAGCGGCAGTGTAAGCGGCGAGCGCTTGCGCTCATGCTTGTGCTCCCGCTCACTGTGTCCTCCGCTCTTCCCGTCTCCCTCTCTTTCGCTATTCTCCAGCACCGAACTCACCACTCCGCGGTCCCTGCAGCCCTTTCCATGTAAATCTAAGTTAGTCTTAATATAGAAGTGAAGCAAATAAAATTGAATTGAAGCGAAGCTACACCCCTCTCGCCTACTAATTGGGAAAATTGTGGGTCTCAGCAGCCAGCCCAACATTCCGACGACCACGCCATCCTAGAAGGACGACGACTGTTTTGGCCACTCCGCCCCCCTCTATTTCATGGTCCTTCGAGCCGGATAGCGGAATTTAAATTTCCAGCGCCCCATTGCGGATACCAAGATAAGTACGAAGTCCAAAGTCCATTCGTCCGTGGTCGCCATATTCCTTTTCCAAGGCATTATTTTTTTCCTCGATCCGAGAATAATGAAAAGTGACAGTGAAAAGTGAAAAAATATATACATATGTGCACATAGTGATAAACGCCCAGCCACAGTAAATTTTCTTCCGTTTTTAAAGTGCAACAGTACTTTGCCAATATTGGCCCCCTACTTAGTCGTGCTGTGATCCGCTGGTGTCCAAGTGCATATATATATACATATATATATTTTTTTTCTTACAAATTTACGTTCCGTCACTCAGTTCCAAAATACGTCCGACACTAACTGCAATTCCAAATAGTATTATTAATACAATTTTAAAGAAAGCCTTTACACACATACATACATACCTTAACATACACGACGGTGTGTGTGTAGTAACGGTGTGCGGACGCCCGCGCGGGTGCTCCGACAAAGATTCGTGCTGTGGCAGTGACCCTAGGTGAAAAATAGTGGTAGCAGTACGCAGGATGCAGTATGAGGGTAGTCTACAGACTTACCTGTCGAGGCACGGCTCCTACGGCCCGCGGTGGGCACTTTTGTGTCCCAAGGTTGTGGCGAGACGGACGACGGCTAGGGGTAAGGGGGGATCTTTCTTCCCCGGAAACTTTCTCTTCCTTCTCTTCCACCGCCGCTTTCTCTCTTAGGGGTCATAATGTGGATGCCCCCACAAAATTGTGCCGGTCACGTCAGCTGATTGCTCGATCAGCTGGCGTGCAGTGTAGTAAAGCGAGCGCAATGCAGCTGTTTGGCAGCACTGCAGCGCCGCTGCACTCTACATGTGCACATTAGCGCCACCCATTGGGTAAAAAACCCTGACACGTGACAGAAGCTGTTTGCTACAAGCTTCAGCAAACGATCGCTGCGGAAATGCGTAGCATACATTCCCGGGCTGCAGCCCGAAGTCCTTGCCAAGGAGTCGGAATTTGGCTATGTTCCGTCGAAGTTGGGGTTCGCGCACGTGGCCAAATGGTGGAAAAGGTCACGGATCTGACCGACTGCCATCCCCTCCGCCCTGGCGGTACACCCAAAAAGGGGCTCTGGCGACCGAGGCGGGGCGGTATAACCCCCAACATTACGTAGTCGGAGGGAAATATTCGACCAGCGAGGGAGGCCGCGTGTCGTCCCGATCTGGTGGAAGCGATCACCACACACATCAACTGAATCCACGCAGCGTCTGCGCATACTGGGCGGCTGCGTGATCTGCGTCTGCGCCATAGTGGCCGGCAGTGGAACCAGCCTGGCAGCAGGTACCAGCTGCACACTACTCCAAATCCAGGTAGCGTCTGACCCACATTGGGCGGCTACTTGGTCTGCGTCTGAGCCATAGTGGCCGGCAGTCTTTAACCCACCTGGCAGGAGGTATAAAATGCAGCCCCGCATTGGGCTAAGATGCAAAAAACAAGGAACAAAGGAATTACTCCAGGTGGCAGCCACAAATGTGGAAATCCACCCGCGGTTGACCCCGCGGCAAGGGCACGGATTCTGGAGGCCCTAACCCACATTCCAACCCACACTGCAGCCCCGGCGGCCTACTTGGCCGGCGCTCTTTTAACAGCGACAAGTGATGATCCAAATGACTTGGGAGCCTTCCAAAAGCGGTCCAAGTTGCAGAGGACCCCACCAAGCGGCGGCCCCACGGCAACTGGCCAAGACCCGGAGAGAGTCCTGGTTCCCATCGGTCGGGAGACGAGTTCGTCAACCCCACCCTCAAAGAGAGTAAGGGACTCCCCTAGCCCCCCGGTAGCGGCCCACCCACGCAAGAAGATCAAGGCGCCAAAGCCACAGATCAAGGAGATGGGATTGATACTGGACGACTTGTTAGCCAAGGTCAACGAGCAGAAAGTCCGAAGCATCAACCAGTCGATGAAGAATGCCTTTGCGCGTCTTAAGGAACTCCAGGAAGAGCTTTCGCTGCTCGAGGGCAAGGACAGGGCTGATGCCATCGCAGTGGCAGACCAATGGAGCCAGACTGATTCACCGATGACTCGGGCGTGGCCCTCTGCGGAGAAATCAGCGCAGACTTCTCCTAAAAGTCGTCCCCGTCCCGCAAGCCGTAACCCTGGTACGACCCCCGTCGGTCGCGCAAGCACGCGCCCCCACCAAGGGCCCCCCACCCATAACGCCGGCAGAGCGCAGAAGCGTGTCGACAGCGACTCCAGACTGAAGGCGCAGTCAGCGACCATGCGCCGAGAGGGCAGTAAGAGGGGCAAAAATGACGCGATCATCATAACCCCCGCGGCGGAGATGTCCTACAGCGAGGTCCTGAGCATGGTCACGCGCACAAAGGACTCCCGAATGGCAGGAGTTGGGGATATGGTATCCAGAGTCAGGAAAACGGCAAAGGGCGAGCTTTTAATAGAGCTAAAGAAGTCCTCTGGTCCTTCCCTCATCGCGCTGAAGGAGCAGATTGGAGGTGTGCTAGGCGGAGGAGTGCCGATCCGCACGGTGTCACCCCAGACCACATTCCTTATCCGGGACCTGGACGAGCTGGTAACCAGGGAGGAACTTGCGGCAGAGCTCGCCTCACAGGCTAACTGCCCACCTGGTGCCGTCACCATCAAGAGCATCCGCTCCCTCGCAAGTGGAGGTCAGGTGGCAATGTTCTCCGTCCCAGAGACTATGGCTGGCTCCATAGATAGTCTGGGGAGGGTGAAAGTCGGCTGGACGAGATGCCGAATTAAGATGATAGAATCTCGCCCCAGATGCTTCCGCTGTATGGAGACAGGGCACATTGCGGCCAGGTGCACCAGCACCTCCGACAGGAGCAGCTCCTGCTTCAGGTGTGGCCAGGAGGGGCATAAGATAGCCGCCTGCAAGAACAGTCCGCGCTGCTTTAGCTGCGCCGAGTCGAACCGTAGCGACACGAATCACCAGGCGGGTAGCCGCCACTGCCCCTTGGTGACGTCGCGTAGAGCAGCCAAAACAATAAGGGCATGATAGTGGTTCAACTAAATCTGAACCACTGCGCGGCAGCACACGATTTGCTGTCGCAATCGATCCGAGAACGCGGTGTCGATGTTGCCGCTATCAGTGAGCCGTACAGGGTAGGCCCTGGCCCTTACTGGGCGGTGGACAGCTCTGGCAAAGCTGCTCTGTGGTCATGCGGCATTACTCCCAAGAGAATGGCTGACGTCCGCTCGGAGAGAGGCTTCGTGCGTGCCAAGATGGCAGGCTGGTGGATGTTCAGTGTCTATCTGGCGCCGAGCATGTCATTCGAGGATTTTGGTGACGCCGTGGATCGGCTAGCCGCAGACGCAAGGTGCCACACTCCGTGCCTTATAGCCGGAGACTTCAACGCCTGGGCGGTGGACTGGGGCAGCTCCCCAACCAATGCCAGAGGCAGGACCCTCCTCGAGGCGTTCTCCACGCTAGACGTCACACTCCTCAACACCGGTGGTCGACCTCACGTTTGTGAGCTGCTCCAGGGCTAGCCAGTGCACCTGGGTCCTGAGCGATGTCTATACGGGGAGCGACCACGCGGCGATCATCACCGCGTTGGATATAGAGCGAGCGCAACCCACACCGCGGCTTCCCCAAGCTCGTAGGGGATACAAGGCCGATACACTGGACATCCAAGCCTTCGCAGAGCATTTGCAGAGGTTGGAAGTAAATGGCTCTGCAGAGCAGATGGCGGAGTCTGCCATGATCCAACTGCAGACCGCATGCGACGACTGCATGTCTGCCAAGCGCGCCCACACTCGCCACAGGGACTCTGTGTACTGGTGGAACGAGACGATCGCCGCGGCCAGATCGGAATGCATCAAGGCAAGGCGTCGGTATCAGCGCTCCTACCGCTCGAGCTCCCACCTGAAGAGGCGGTCAGAGTTCCGTAGATGCCGCAAGGCTCTCAAGGCGGCAATCCGGGCTAGCAAAACCCAATGCTTCCTTGACCTTTGCGACACAGCGGACCACGATCCCTGGGGAAACGCCTACAGGATCATCGTTAAGAAGATCCATGGGGCAAAACAGGGCGCCCCGCATGACGCGGAGAGCATCGACAGGATAGTCGAACACCTGTTCCCGAGGACGGATAACCCTAGAGACACGCTGGAGATAGCGACGCACTCGCTGGAAGGGTTCGAGCCAGTAACGGACACGGAAATCCTGGCGGTGGCGATGAGAATCAGGGAGGCGAAAGCCCCGGGCCCTGACCTGGTTCCCAACAGAGCCCTGAGACTTGCTCTCTCGCTCCGCCCGGACTTATTCGCGGAGCTCTATGGAAGATGCCTCAGAGAAGGTAAATTCCCTGGGAGATGGAAGGTCCAGAGGCTGGTCCTGCTCCCGAAACCGGGAAAGCCACCAGAGGACCCATCCGCCTACAAACCAATCTGCCTGATTGATGGGGCGGGCAAGGTTCTGGAGCAATTGATCCGGACGAGGCTCGAGAAGGCCATTGCCACAGCCGGCTACCTGTCCGACTCCCAGTTCGGTTTCAGGAAGGCTAAGTCGACAGTAGATGCCATCTCCAAAGTGGTGGGCATCGCGAAAGCCGCCACCATTGCGGGACAACGGTGGAAAGGAGGCGCGAAGGAGTACGCCTGATAGTCACGCTAGACGTCCGCAACGCCTTTAATACGGCGAGATGGGATTGTATCCTAGACGCACTTTCCAGCTTCGGAGTACCCCCGTACCTCTTGGAGCTGTTGAAGAGTTACTTCAGAGGCAGGTGTACGACTCCGATGGCGGTGCTAGATCGGCTGAGCTTTCCTGCGGAGTGCCGCAAGGGTCGGTCCTGGCTCCGTTGCTGTGGAACGCTATGTACGACGGTGTTCTGCGGCTCCCGCTACCAGGTCGGACCGAGCTGGTGGGTTTCGCAGACGACATAGCCGTAGTCGTAGTAGACAAGGAACTCGCAGGAGCAGAAGAGCTGTGCGACAGGAGCATCAGCCGCATAAACTTGTGGCTGTCCAGTGTTGGCCTACAACTAGCGCCGCAAAAAACGGAAGCCGTGCTGGTAAGCAGCCGGAAGAAGGTGGAGGTCGCAACCATCCGAGTGTGCGGGGCCTCGATCAGATCGTCCAGAGCCATTAAGTACCTGGGCGTGATGATCGATACGAGGCTCTCCTTCCGCGAGCACTTAGCGTATGCTCTATGCGGCACCAGTCTGGGGACACGCACTGGCGACCCCGGCCTATAGTCGCGGACTGTGCTCGGCCCACCGCCTCGCGGCACTACGTATATGCAGCGCCTTCAGGACGGTGTCCGACCAGGCCGCGTTTGTCCTAGCCGGGACTCCACCTCTAGATCTACTCGCAGTAGAGAGGGCCAGCATCCATGGCCAGACGAATGGTAGAACGCCGTCACCTCGCGACAAGCAGGTGATACGCGTAGCGGCGAAAGACGCCACCTTGGCAGCGTGGCAATCGCGGTGGGAGTCAGCGTCCAAGGGAAGATGGACGTTTCGGATGATTCCCCAGCTGGAGTGCTGGCTGAGGAGGAAGCACGGTCAGATATACTTCCACCTGACCCAGATCCTCAGCGGCCACGGCTGTTTTCGGAGCTACCTGCGGAGATTCGGCCACGAGGAAGACGACTCCTGCACGCACTGTCTAGGACAGCTGGAGGAGACGGCAGAGCACACGGTTTTCAACTGTGCGAGGTTTGCCGGCGAGCGAGCATCGCTGGAGGCCAGGCTGGGCAACACCATCACAGCGGAAAACCTAGTTCCGTTGATGTTGTTGTCCGAAGCGAATTGGCAGGCCGTGTCGGACTTCGCAGCGGGGACTATGACGGAGCTCCGAGCAGAGGAGCGTCGCAGGAACCAGGAGGCAGCATAGATCGGGATCAGCGCCCGCGCGAAGCATTGCTTCGCGGCCGTACCGCGCGAGCAAACCGTCCCGAGTTCTGTGTGACCCAAACCCCTCTATCCCCCCACTCTTTTGTATATTTCTTTGCTTTATTAAACGAATTAAAAAAAAAAAAAAAAAACCTTAACATACACCCAAATATAAATATAAAATAAAATCCGCCCCCTCCAGTTTTATAAATATAAAATAAAAGCGCAAATATAAAAAACATCTGAATTCAAAAAATATATATTTTGTTAAAATAAAAAATAAAATAAATAAAATTACACACAAAAACTTGCACACAACAATTTCCGCCCAGTGTTTTTATTTAAAAAATATTCAATATTAATTAAAGAAATTCCAAAGAAAAAAAAAATAAATAATAATAAAACACAAATAAATCCATACTCCGAAAAAATAGAAATATACATAAATATAGTTGTTTTTATTTCTCGCATTCCATACAGACAATAAATATATTTGGGGAAGCTTCGCGGTATTCTGCGCCTAGCAAAAATTACATATTTCCGTACATACATACATATTTTGGGCAAGCTTCGCGCTATTCTGCGCCTAGCAAAATTACATATTTCATACATAAATATATTTGGGCCAGCTTCGCGCTATTCTGCGCCTAGCAAAATTACATATTTCATACATAAATATATTTGGGCCAGCTTCGCGCTATTCTGCGCCTAGCAAAAATTACATATTTCCATACATACATACATATTTTGGGCAAGCTACGCGCTATTCTGCGCCTAGCAAATTTACATATTTCCTACGTACATACATACATATTGGCTTTCCTCGCGCTATTCTGCGCTGAGCAATTGCTTAAACTCCAAAGCTTCATACATACGCACATACAGTGCATTTTTATTTCGTCTCCTCTTTGCTCGTTAAGCGTTAACCTATACGTTTCCGAAAAGGCAAAGTGCCGACGGAAAAACATCGTCCACCCACGAGATAAAATAAAAATAATTCCTGGAACAACATTTTTTAAGGAAACCGAAATTTTTAGGATTTTCCAGCTAGTTTTGGCGGGTGGTTTTTTTATTCTCGCAAAGTTCTACGATTGTTGTTGTCGTATTCCGGAACTTAAGGTCGAAGAAGCCAATTTTGAGTAAGTGGCTAAGAATTTGCAACAATTTCCGAGCCTAGTTTGTAGCTAGATCTAGCTACTTTTTTCGCTATATTCTATTATCCGCACGCGTTTCGTAGATCCGTCACTGACACAAGTGAAGCGCGACATTTGAAAAACCGGTATGTCATTACCAAACAACCTGATATCATATAGCTGCCATACAAAGTTCGATACATTTTTAGAAAAAAACAAGAAAGGAAGCTAACTTCGGCACGCCGAAGTTTTTATACCCTTGCAGATTGGTTTCGATGTTTATATTATAGATTTAAATGCTGAAAACACTCACAAAACAGAGTTTCATTACATTTTACCTATACTTATTATGTTTACAGTTTGACAGTTACAGTTTTACATTCCCAGCTTTACATATTTTATACATTTGCCGATCGCTTCTATGGCAGCTATATGATATAGTTGTCCGATTTTTATAAAATTTATACCAAAATTCTAGAATAATAAAAAAAGCTTATAACTTAAAGTAGATGAAAATACGTTGAAAAACAACGAAGTTATATTTTTTTTCGATTAATTTCCCGATCGTTCCTATGGCAGCTATAAGATATAGTCGTCCGATTTTCATAAAATTTTTACCAAAATTCTTAAATAATATAGAGTGGCCATATCTAAAAAATGGTGCAAAAATGTTGAAAAACAGCAAAGTTATAATTTTTTTTCTAAAAATATATCGAACATTTGTATGGCAGCTATATGATATAGTCGTCCGATCCGGCCCGTTCCGACATATATAGCAGTGAGAGCATATAGAAGACTATATGCAAAGTTTCATTCAGATAGCTTTAAAACTGAGGGACTAGTTTGCGTAGAAACAGACAGACGGACAGATGGACAGACGGACAGACGGACAGACGGACAGACGGACAGACGGACAGACGGACATGGCTAGATCGACTCGGCTGTTGATGCTGATCAAGAATATATATACTTTATAGGGTCGGAAACGTCTCCTTCACTGCGTTGCAAACTTCTGACTGAAATTATAATACCCTGCAAGGGTATAAAAATTATATCTTGGCTGTTTTTCAACATTTTTGCACCATTTTTGATATATTGGCAATTTATATTGGTGTACAAGTAGAAAACCGCCGTTTTTTCATAATTTTATTCCCAAGCTTTTTAGGCGAAGGGAAATTGATTGCTGAGTCACACCCAAGGAATCCGCGAGTTCTTGTTGTGTCTGACAAGAATCTTCATCCAGCAGAGCCTCCAAATTCGCGTCTTCAAACTTTTTCACAGGACCCGGTCGATCCTTGTCTTCCACGTCATACTCGTCATTTTTAAACTTTTCGACACGTTCTTTTACTTATACACGACTCATCATAAGTTTCTACGATCATTCGACGCGCTTCAGCTGCCGATTTTTTCGAATTGAACGGGAAAACCAAAATCTCCCGCAAATGACGCTTATTCGGTTCGAATTTCGACATTTTCGTGCACCAAAAAAATGATAGACAATAAGAATACACGAACGAGACAATGTTGACCGATATTTTAGCTCGCCATTTGGCATTCCCGATCAAAATTTCTCACCGTTTTGTGAAGATGGCACCACCTAGTTGAAAACGGCGGTTTTCTATTTGTACACCCAATATTATTTCACATTTTCGGTTTTTATACCCTTGCAGGGTATTATAATTTCAGTCAGAAGTTTGCAACGCAGTGAAAAAGACCTTTCTGACCCTATAAAGTATATATATTCAACAACCGAGTCGATTTAGCCATGTCCGTCTGTTCGTCCGTCCGTCGTCCGTCTGTCCGTTTCTACGCAAACTAGTCCCTCAGTTTTAAAGCTATCTGAATGAAACTTTGCATATAGTCTTTTATATACTCTCACTGCTATATATATCGGAACGGGCCGGATCGGACGACTATATCATATAGCTGCCATACAAATGTTCGCGCGAAATTTAGAATAAGTATAGGTAAAATGTATTGAAACTCTGTTTTGTGTGTTTTCAGCATTTAAATTTATAATATAAATATCAAAACCAAATTATTATTTGCTATATATAGGTATACAACGTTTATATATTTTCTTTTATTTATTTTCGAATTATTTAACGAGAATGGCTCGATTCTTAATGATCTAATTGCCATCTGCAAGGGTATATAAACTTCGGCGTGCCAAAGTTAGCTTCCTTTCTTGTTCAATTAAGTTTTATCTTTTGAAGGAGTTAGGAGATATGCATTGTCACTTACAAAAATAAAATAAAGGTTTAATTACATCAACAAATACCAAATATCAGGTAAACTTTCGTTTTACAGGAGCACATGGAAATGGAAAACATAAAACTTGTATTGAAAACAGTTAAATTATATCGAAAACATTGAAATTATGTACAGTTTGTCAAGACATTCTTGGCAAAACGAAAAATCCCCATAAAATTAGTTTTTAGATTGAAAATTTATTAACAAAAACAAGACATTTTTAAACTTTTCTTTTATTATATGATTAGGATAAATGATAGCTATGAATATAAAAACAAAACTTGAATATTTTAACTTAAAACTTAGTGTTCACGCCAGAAGGGCGTGAAGTTATGAGCGGCAGTGTAAGCGGCGAGCGCTTGCGCTCATGCTTGTGCTCC